TGTAAAAGAACCGGGGAAAGGATCGTTAGGTCCCAAACCTGCAGGATGTAAATCATCGTGACCGATATTGAAAGGAGAAATAGTTCCCTGAGGATTATAACGTCGAAGACGATTAAGATCCAATTCATCATCGAAACCAGGAGGAGGAAAATCTCCGGCTGGGATGGGACGACGTGGTGGATCGGCAAGGTGATCATTATATGGATATGGACGAGCGGGTGCTGGAAGACCTGGATCGGTTGTGGGATTTGGTGGAGGATTTCGTCGAGCTTGTGTTTCTTCTCTTTCATCGTGAGCCCGGGAGGCTTCACCTGCGCCCTCACCTGCCCTCCCACCTGCACTTTGTTGTGAATCTTCATATCCTTCTTTTTGTAAAGATGGAATGAGTCTTTGAATAATACTTATTTTGAAGAGGGAAGCAAGATCTGCGATTCGGGGAGGAGAGACAAATATCTCTTTCAACCTTGATTTAAGACTTGAACGATCTTCTTGATCATTTATAAAAGGAATTCGTAAAGGAAGCGCGGAGGTGGAAACGTAATCTCGGGCTGTGATTTCGAGACGGGTAATTTTCTCATCTCCAAGTCCTATTCCTCGGATTTCGGCCTTGCCACCTAGTCGGTCGATCTTGACGACGTATTGCATAGAGGATTGAGAGTGAGCGTAGAGGAATGAGTGGGATCCAAAGGAAGAATTCCATTTTGATGATAATCTAGGAGCAAGCTGTTCGCATTCGGTTTCTGGTGGTTTTGTCAATATTTGTACTTTGAGCAAGGACTTTTACTGGAAGAGACTAACTATTCTCTTGACCTTCTGCGAATCCGATGAGTCGAAATCCAACTGCGATCATACATGCGTGAGAGAATAGGGCGATGGCTTCATATGAACTACTGATGTCGGAATCGGTATCGTCTTTTTGATGAGTAGGTAAAGCTTCTGCCATATGATGTAGAATGGAATCTGGACTGAGTGGATTATTTGCCATTTTGGCGGATGAGGTTGTATTGATTGTTTGCGATTATTTTGATGTATTGATGTCTCTTCTTGTCGATAATCTGATGTAATGTAAAGTAATGTGATGTATTGAACCTTTGAAGTGAAGACTGATAGAAAGTACAAATGAATTAGTTTAATTGTATGAGGAAACAAACGGAATGCGGGGGTGCATGGCGAAGTCAAGCTACTGCCTGAAGCTATCAACCCATGTTATGTTTAGTGACGTTTAATAAGTGGCGGCATACCCCGTCAAACTCCGCTTTATACGATAACACAGTCTGCTCAAGCCTCAGGGTCACTCTTGCTAAAAGAGAACTAGGTACTTTGTACAGGGTCTAGAACATGTAAAACTTCAACGACGCCAGTAACGCCAGTATCATTCTTTGCACAACTTTCTTCTATGGCTTTCAATTGTATCAAATAATCTTCGTATCGTTTTCGATTCCATACATCTCTGCGTCAATTGCTCTCGGGGCTATTTAATTGAGCTTTGAGCTTTGAGCTATGAGCAATGGATTCAACTGAATCTTTATTCGAGGGACAGAAATTGGTGAAGTTACCAACGATTGTTCACGATGACCCTTTTGTCAAAGTGGTAAAGACTTTATCAATGTATGTGCGCTGTATGTACGCTGAAATTCGGCATGCTATGATATCCATCTAACGTTTACTGCTCTACTAGATACTTTGTCGATGAAATCGTTCTTCCTTCAACCTTTGAACAATTACGAACTACATCTGCGGGCAATAAAATTCGAATACTTGTTGAACATCTCGTCGGAAATGTTACGAATCCCGCCATTATCAATGCAATCTTGTCAGTAGTAGCAAATCATTATTCATCAAGAATCCCGTAATAACTCAGATCATTCAGAACACTCAAGTGGCATTTTCAAACTCTCGATTTGGAGGACGATCGCGGAATCAATGAAACTCGAGCAAGCGCGTGTGAAATAGTGGCATGGAGATTCCTAAGTCGTGTATCGGAAAGAGATGCTGTCGATTTTTGCTTATACGAATTACCTTCACCCACTCTTCAAAGATCAACAGATGGTGCAGTAGAAGAACCAGAGGAAAGTCAAGCTACGGAACATTCGACTTTATTACCACAATTCAGAGAGCGGGATTCTCCTCCTAGTACAAGACCACCTAGTCGGAATAAAAAGACTGAACTCTTACGGTCTATTTCACATATGGGATCATTCTTTACGCATGATGATATGGATGATGATGAGGATGATCCAACATCTTCGTTTACGGGATTGAATGCTCTTGAGATAGCAGCGGTAGCTGATTCCAAGAAGTTTCTCGCTCAAAGAATTGTTCAAAAGATTATAACTGGTATTTGGAAAGGAGATATAACGTTTTGGGAAAGTTTGAGTGAACATACCCAAAAGAAAGCTCAATTTTATAATAGGAAGAAGTCGGACCCCTTTTCGAGATTGAGAGTACCAAGATATATTAAAGCTTTTGAAGTTTTATTCTTTGCTTCTTTCTTATTTCTATACTATGCAGTTCTTGTTCAACGGAATCCGTAAGTCCTTCTGTCTTGTCTACCCCTCCAATGTCTAACATCTTTCCAGACATTACATTACGCCCCTTGAAATTGTTCTCTATGTATGGTTTGCTGCTTTTGCATATGATGAACTTGGAGAATTCATAGATGCGGGCTCGATTTTCTATGCGGTTGATATATGGAATTCTTGTGATTTGATGATTATCTTAATAGGAGCTGCTTTCCTACTCACTCGTTCGTACTCCTTGGTCTTGGTCGAATACCTGGAAAGTATCCAACATAACATTTACTAGGTGTAATTGGCTTGACAAAGGATAACCCTGAGACTATTGACATGGCTTTCGATATTCTGTCTCTAGAAGCACTGTTTTTGGTACCCAGGTAAGTGTTGTGATGGATCATTCAGAAACAGGACTGACATTACTTCAGAATATGTTCACTTCTTAGTCTCCATCCATATTTCGGAACTTTGATCCCTTGTCTGAAGCAGATGTCTTCTGATTTCATGAAATTTCTACTTATCACAGGAATTCTCTACCTTGGTTTCCTAACAACCTTTACCCTCCTCGCCCGCGATTCGTTCACCTTAGGCGAAATGTCTTGGGTTCTTATCAAAGTGTTTTTTGGATCTTCATACCTCGGTTTTGATATAATGAATCAAATTTCTCCTCAACTCGGTCCTCCGCTTATGCTCATTTTCGTCTGCATGACCAACATTTTGCTGATCACCTCTTTAATATCAATTTTGAGCGACAGCTTCTCCAGAGTCTATTCGCATGCAAGAGAAGAGTATCTGTTTGTATACTCGATTTACGTGCTTGAGGCCTCAACATCGAATCGACTTACACACTTTTACCCACCACTAAATCTTATCCCTCTCATCCTCATCCGACCTCTTAGACTCTTTATGAGTTCTTCTACATTAAGGAGAACTCGTATTGGGCTATTGAAAGCAACACATGCGCCAATTGTACTTGCAATTAAGATTTTCGAAGGTGTTAATGAACACATACAAGATCCATCATCTTTCCCCCGCACACCAATTGCTACCGTACCATCTACACCTCGTAGTGGAGCTGGTGGAACGACAAGTATGAGTGGAGAACCAGCTTATAAAGGAAAAGCTAAGAAGAAATTCTTGACAAGTAGGACGGGTACAAATCATTCTTTGCATTTTATGGATGGACCGGGTATCGGAGATGGAGAAGCGAGTCCACTTGTTAGTGGGAAGTGGGAAGGGGGTATTAGGGGGATAAAGGAAGGATGTCCTTCTGATATGGGCAATTGTGGACATGTGAATGGAAAAGGAAATGGAAAATTTAACAAGAAATTGACGTTTGAGGCAGAAGATAGTGGATTGGGAGGAGAGGATGATGCAGCACGAAGAATACAAAGGATGGAAGAAGAAGCGAGAACAAGCGAGAGAGAAAGAAGATTAGAAAATAAAGTTGATGAATTGGGGAAGAGGATAGAGGAATTAACGAGATTGTTTATGGCGGACAAGGGATTGGGTGGGGATGATGAGATGTAGATTGATGGGTAACTTTAGAGATCAAGATGATGGTTGGTTCTGGGTGGGGTGGGGGGTGTGCATAGCGGGGTTTGTAATCTTATAATATTCAAGAAGAAGGGTTTAGATTGTATAAATGAAAATGAATAGTTGAGTGGTACATACATACCTAGGTATTTTCACAAAGACAAGGGAAGAGAGAGGACGCAAATGGTAGAATTACACTAGGCTAGGCTAGGCTAGGCTTAATGTTCGATAGAACGTATGGTTGTAGTGTACGTATACATATGCGTATATGCGTATAGAAAATACTTAAAGGTAACACAAGTATCGAGCTTCTTACCCATAACATATTTAATAAATTGTTATTCATGATACATAGTAACTACCACCAGTGGGTGGCGTGCATAGAGTGACAGGAAATTGGGATTAGAATAGCTTTTAAACGAGCCATGAACCCCGACTCTAGCATTTAGGAATTGGTAAATAATGACGAGTAATCGAAGTCAATTAATCTATATTATATAAAAAAGGACCTTCACCTGGTATATCAGCGGGTTTAATAAAAGGTAAGAAGACCCTCGGCCTTTAAGATTAGCTATACTACGGTTTTGAATATTAATATAATTTTTGTTTCTAAATCATTATATATCGGAACCTCGAGCGTAGCGAGAAAAGGGGGTTTGGGGGCTGGTTAGGTAGGCAGGGATAGACGGCGGACAAGGGTGGATAGGGGAGGGAAAAGGAACCATATCTTAATCTAATATTTATTAGAATATCTATCAAAAATTATCAGAAAATTGATAACGTCCTGTGCATCAACTTTTCAATATTAGTATCGATTTTATCTTCAGGTTCTTACATATGAAAACCTCGAGCGTAGCGAGCAATGGGGGTTTGGGGGCTAGCCCCCATTAAATAGCATGAAAATCATATATATATTGTTCCTAATATACCATTCGAACCAGTCACATATATTTAAGCATAGACAACATCTCTACAAGAAGCACAAGCCCACATACCCGACCTATGACCAAAATTTCTCTTATCACACCCATTACATTTCAACAAACCTTTTCTCAACAACCAATTCTTGACCGCTACAGCTCTTGCCGTTACATCCATAATAGCCTCATCCCGATGATTATTACATAACCATGACTTTCTCATCTGAGATGTACATGTACAGTATTCTTTCTTGAAACCTGCAACTGCTCTCCCTCCACTTGTTCGTGGCCTTTGCTCAGCCGCACATACGCCACAATAATATAATTTGGTGTATTCGATGAGTGTTGATTGTTTATCTGCCACTCGAACATTTTGATCTTTGTGACAAGATACACAAGTATGCCAATCACCTCCTTCAATACCATGTTGAAGATAATCGCAATGTTTTGCGGGAGATTTGAAACAAATATCGACCCCGATGAGTTCATCGCAGTGTTTGTTTTTGAGAATTCCTTTCAAATTTTGTTTCCAATCTTGTCGATAATCGGATAGAGGATGGATTTGAAGTCTTGGATCGGGATCTGGTTTTTCTTGATTGGCTACTTCGAGTCCAGATCGATTTTCTTCGACTGAATTTAGAACATCGTCTAAATCCAACATTTCTACATCAGGATTTTCAACACAATATTCAGGTGGAATCTTGGGTGTACTGAAATCTAGCCCTTCTCCGCCAAAAGTCATCGCAGCATAATGTGCCACATCTCCAAATGGTTCGGATGAAAATTCTGGTCCTTCTGGTGCAAGACTGTTATATGATGCATCTTGTTCCGTAACTGTAGCGACCCGATTATAAGGTGGACCATCTGGATCAGGTTTATATGGTTCCATGGCTGGATGCTCATTTTCTGCATTTTGCGAGAAGAAATTGTTTTGGTGCCCAGCTTCGAATGAATCCATGATGACTTGTGAACTATGATTCATCATAGGACCTAAATCCATATCTTCAATCGCTTGATCTGCTTCTTCGACATTCGAAGCCAATTTATCCCATTCAGTATTAACATCGTTGTATCCTCTTCCCGTTACTGAAAGATCAAAATCAAATTCATCATCAGCACGTTGTAAGATACCTCCTGTCCCTTGATAATCTCGTTCCCTGTATTTTGAAAAGTAAGAGACGGAACTACACATATCGATTGTTCCATTCAGTCTACACGTTCCGCAAGGACGTTCTCCATCACAAGGTCGAGATTGATCTTTACAAGGTAAACATTGGATACTAGCAGCATTCTCCAGTTCGGGACTGGCGCTTCTTCGTCGACGTCTCTGAGGAGAACGGCGTGAACTTTGATTAAACGTAGTTCTTTTCTTTCGCGAAAGCCTCGCTTTCTCTTGGGGCGAGATTGGCTCTTCATCCTCTTCATCTTCATCATCTTCATCTTCATCTAGGTCCATCGCTGAAGCCGAAAATAGACTAGGCATTTTTTTAGGACCAGGTCTCTGTGTTTTCAATTTCCATGCCGGTTTAGGCGCATTCGGATCTTCCAAATCCCGAGTTATTTCGCATACAATCCCGCGTTGCTTACAGCGATCGCAAGGTCGAGGTGATCCTGCTACTAATGTACATGGTTTTCTCATGTGTATACAATATAAACAACGTTTGATTCTTGGTGCGAATCTTGATCGTTTAGCTGTATATTCTTCTACAGCTCCACCTGGAGTTTCACCTGGTGTTCCACTTGCAGCCCCGCTTCCAGTTTTGCCCGTAAGATTAGCACGAGGTAATTGACAATCTGCTCCACTTTCTCTACAGCGTTTACAGGGTCGAGGTGATCCTCCTACTAAAGAACACAATTGCCTCATATGTTGACAACGTAAACAGCGTTTGCTCTTTGGACCCGGAGCTGCAAGCATCCCAGTTCTATCTCTAGAAGGCATAGCTGGAAGATCCTCATCACTACTATCCTCTGGTAATTCCGGTGTGGTAGGTCTTGGTTGATTATCTCTCTCTGCAATCCTTCTCGCAATTAATAGAGCTGTCCTTCTCCTCCTCGCATTTTCTAATTGTCGACATGCTTTTTCAGCTCGATATTGTGTCGCGTATTCCGAATCGAAATTCTTATGTGTATGATCCATTTTATTTTTATGAACTTCCTTATCTTTCTCCCATTGAGTTTTAACTTTTCGACGAGCAGCCAATCGAGCTTTAAATTGTTCAGGAGTATCACCCCCTTGTTTTGCCGTCGTTGGGAATGAATATGGACGTTTTCTCAATTCTGAAGGTTCTATTCCAATTGCTTTTCGAGAAGTGACGACGCGTGCTCGCCAAGCAGTCAAGGACTCTCCTTGTCGTTGGGGTCCCTCATCGATCGCTTCGATATTGGCGGCAATTTCACTTAACCAGGGGGAATAAGTACCCGTTTCGAGTTGTTCGACGATGAAGGGATCGAAATCTCCATCTGGTCCGGCGGAATAGGCTCTTGTATCTCTCCAAGTAGGTGGACCTGGTGGTCGGGGAACTCCTTGTTGTTCCCATACCGTAATTCCTGGTGGTACTGGGAGATATAATTGTTGATACGTGGGACCTTTTGGGATCCTTGGGGCATGTATACCATGTCCATAAGTTGCATTCTGTATATCCGTTTGTTGATGGCGCTGCTGTTGTGGTTGATGATATTGCTGTTGTGGTTGGTGGTATTGCTGCTGTGCTTGATGGTATTGCTGTTGTGCTTGATGGTGGTGGTATTGCTGTTGTCGTTGATGGAACTGTTGATATTCTGTCTGAGGAGAATACCCCCCAGGACCCCTAGGAGCTCCCATCTGACCTCCATAGCCTGTATACTGCGGCATGATTCTCTGTAGTCCTCTTTGCTCTTGCATCGTTGGTGGATTTCCACTTCTCCAATCTCTTGCTTCACTTTCAAAAAGTTGACCCAACGGAATATCCGTCGGTTGAGGTCCTTGCCAATGCATTTCCCTCTGCGGAACAACCGGTTGTCGTACCATTGGCGCCATGGCATCCATTCCCCCAATAAGATCCCACGGATCAATCGTCGCTTCCACCACTTGATCCTGATCCGGCACATTAAGCCACGGAGAAGTATACTCCCCTTCCAAATGTTGGAATTGATGACTCGCACCCCCCGTCAAGGGATCCCGTCCCGTTCTCCACGCAGCGAGATTATCTTGATCCCAAGGAGGTTGACCACCGCGCCAACCTCCAGCGGGAACAAACATAGGAGTCGCCGAGCGGAAATTATGTTCGGGGCGGTTCATTACATTGCCGAGTCCGGGATTGAGAGGATCACCGGCGGGATGCGGATCGGGACCTGGGGGAATTACACCATAACCTTGTCCGTGACCATGTCCGTGACCAAAGCCAGTCATACTTAATTGATATTAACCGTAAAAGTGGGGTGATGGGGATAAGTTGACAATGGAATTATAATTGAAGCGCGAGTTAATGAACAAGATATGACAGATAGATAATCATACAATACGAGAAAATAATTTCAACGGCGCCGTGAATCTTGAGCATAAACGTGCGCTGTACCTTGAACATGAATTTTCTTTGCACGACTGGAATCGAACTTCAAACATCTTGTTTGTGCGCATGATTGAGAGCGAGAGTTATAGGATTGAAGTTCTTTGTGGACTGATAAAGAGGTGAGGGGGGGTATTGTCTAGAGATGAGAGGTTGAATATGTGAGATAAAGGGGGAGGAATTGGAGTTGAAGGGTTGTGAATATTGAGGAGAGAATTCTTTGTGGGAAGAGATGAGGATTGGCTGTTTGCGGGGGAATTATTAAGCGAGGGTGATAAAGGAGTTTTTTTGATGATTGGGAGAGAGGGTATTATGGTTCTGTCATGTAGATGCAATTTGATGAGTTGAATTTCCGTATTAATTGAGATTTAGAAGGAGATTCTTATTCGATTATTCCTAATTGTTCAAGAACAAATCTCGACAAGCATTTTGAAATGGGAAAGAATAAATCATTTTTTGTCCAAGAACCTAGCCTCCAACAATCAAAAACCCGAACAAACAATTCATGAATAAATTCTTTGGGAACAACTTCGAATCAATAGAGAATTGCATAAATGGGGGTAAATATAAGAAATCTTATCGCAAAATTGACTTCATGATGAGCCAAGTATACTGGTCAAAATTACAAAATGGCCCTTGAAAAATCAACGCATACAACAAGTCATCACACCAACAATAAACGACATCAACACACACAAAATACTAATTAAACTGGCCAATTCCGATATCAGAAAAAACGTGTATTCATACAAGTCGATAACTAAATAAAATCCATCATGTTATCATTCACTGATAGATCAAGTACACCTCAATCAAACCCCATTAACTCCAACCCTAGTGACTACCCTATATGACACGCTCAAATAGTTCCCAGAAAAGAAAGAAGAGGAAGGAAAAAAGAGAAGGATCACGAGATCCTTATACGCTTGTAAATCTAATATTTTCAATCCATTCAACTCATTTTAATCCCTACGACTCATTCGTCTCCCACCAAATGATAATGAAGTAGGACTAGTAGGCGTATTAGATCTTACTGTAGGTGGAAGACCCAATTTGACTTCCCCTACTCGTCTTAAAAGTCCTTGTAACGCCAATCTAATTTCTACTCCCATATCCCTAGAAAGTAAATCCACTGCCAATGGATAAAATACTTCAACATACTTCTCAAATCCTTCTCGTGGGAAATTCATGTAACCTTCTAACACATCTACAACAACCGGTCGCCAAGCAATTATATTTCTTTGTTGACTTTCTTCTTCGAGTTGGGTAAAACCACGAATGATATCAGCACAAAGAGGTACTAAAGCTTGTTCTGTATCTGCTCGGTTTCGTTTTCGCTCTTCACCTTCGTCATGGTACATTCTAAGAAGAATAGAAACATATGTAGCTGCACTACCAGATTCTTGCTTTAACAAGTTAGGTGGTTGTTTCATGAATCCTTCACGCCATAAACGCATTCGTAATTCTTTGTTCTCATTGAATCTTTTGGCGAATAAGAAAGATTTCTTGAGTAGAGCCATCAACCTGAGAAGTTCCGGACTAGGAATTTGAGCATAAACTGTATCGTTGGAAAAAAGCTCATTGACAGTTTCGATCATCAAAAGTTGTAAAACACATTTAGTAATGATTTTATTAAAAAAGCGTCGACGAGCTGCAGTGACGACTATAGGTTGTTGTTGTAGACCTGATTGTGGCTTATAGTCCTCTAACTCTGGAGTTTGAGCTACAGGTGTTTGACCTTCTGGTTCAGCAATGCTCTCTGCATCCGAGGTTGCACCACCATTTGTACCATTGATCTTTAAAGATTGACCATCATCAATATCTTCAATTGGTGCCGAGGAACTCTCCATAGAACCTCCTGCAGCAGATGATGTTGCAGCAGTGAATAATTGGAATGCAGTTGTCCTATCGAATAACTCTACAAATGCTCCAACTATTTTTGACCAATGTTGAGGCTTGAATTTGGTGACATTTTGCAAAATTAATTGCTGTAAACAGTTGCTACCAATTCGAGCAATTGTATCATTCTCTTGACATATGCACAGAGCAAGCAAATCGAGGAATCTATCCAACATATATTCAAGTGATTCGAAATAGTGAGTGAATAATGTGATCATATTTCGAAGAGCTTGAATCATTGTAGTTGACAACCACACAGATAATTCCTCATGATTGACAACATTGGACATCTCGGATTTGGATTTGAGAACCATAAAGATAGGATAAAGTAATTGTCTCCACAAGATGTCCCAGAAATCTGAAGGGAAGTCACCTCCATATTTGATCAATGAATCGAATAAGTAATTGAGAGCATTCGAGCGAACTTCCAAATCTTCTCCTGTCATAAGAACATCGTGAAAAGCGAATAAAACAGGAAACCAGAATGCTTCTTCCTGCGTTGTACGACTTATAGGATTTGTGGTGGTATCTGGAGTTTTTATTGAACCATCCGAATTCGCGTTCGATTTGTGAGATAAAGGACATTCCGGTGTCTTCAACATCTTGGGAATAATTGATTTCAATGCTTCCATAGCTTGTAAACCCTTCTTCTGGAACTTCATATTCTTCGAAAATTCAGTTAAGCAAACAATCAAGTCTGCAAATGCGCCTTGGGAAATAACAACACCAAATCGAGTTTTGTAAACTTGGTTAACGTTTTCGAATGCAAGATTGACGATGCTCTCATATGGTTCTCGAGCTGCGACAGTGAATACTCCGAACATTGTTCTCCATCCAGATCGAATATTCTCTCCACGGGCTTGAATCATTTGTATGAGACAACGCAAAGCCATATCCTTTACAGATACAACATTTGAGTTTGACATTACATGTTCGAAAGGTTTCAAGAAGTCTTTTTGAAATTTGAATCCAGGCAATTCTTCAATCTCCATAAATCGCATTGACAGTTGACGTAAAGAATCCAAAGCAAAGAACACCACAGCGGTATTGTTATGACACCCAACCCGATTGAAATGCTCACCTAGAACAGCCCAAATATTGGCCCATTCGAATCTTACACGAAGCATATTGTAGTAACTGATTTCCACAAGCTTTTGAAGACTGTATGTCCTTGGAGATTCGTTGGAACCCGAGATCTTAATTTCATCCCAACTGACATCACACAAAGCTGTGACAAAGTGAACAATGGCTTCACCAGAAAGATTCGCCGTATTTGTGAAAATTCTATCCACTCCCTTGATCACTTCATCAGACCTACTTTCCATTGCGATTTCGGTTGAATAAATAGTACTCTGGGTGTTCGTCCTTGGACGAGTTCGAGGTCTTTGAGAAGCGGTAGATTTTCTTGATGAAGTGGTATCTGATCGTGATGGAGCAACAATTCGAGCTTTTGAAACGTCTGGAATAGCCCCTTCATCAACTCCATCAGATATTAATTGTAAGCGATCCAATTGACTGATGCACATGAGAATATCTCGCCATGATCCTTTCAAAAGATTTCCTTCTGTTTGTGCTATTTCAAGAATGACTTTTAATGCTTCCACATTCTTTGCCATCATATCCTTAGGATTGTTGAGATTAGTCGAGTTCTTGAGGGCGGAAACGAAAGCTTCACGTGGAGTTTCTAGATCGAAAAGACATGCAATACGAATTGCTAATTTCATTCCTTCAATACATAACTTGATGATCTCGATGTTGTGTGAATTTTGCATTTGACCGGAAAGCCCGGAGAAGAATGACATCCAAGTTACCTCAAACATGGGGCCGACATGTTTGAATGAAGTAGCAGGAATGAATTTATCCTCAGATTTTGATGCATTCTTTCGTTGATTTCGGAAAAGGTTCTTGAATAATTGTTCAGATCTATGAGAGATCTCTTCAGATTGTTGCAAATACGCTTCACGCTGTAAGTCGCGTCCAACTGTAGCCAAAGCTTGTCCAAGACCTGCCGCAATACCACCCGTAGATTGTGGAGGAGCATTACCAGTAGCTGCAGCGGCTTCGCGCTCACTATTGAGTACAATTTCTTCCTTTTGAATTTCTTCGTAGATGCCGATAAGGTACTCATCAGGTAAACTTGCATTATCGTTAATACCACGATTATTCTTGATGAAATCTTCCTTAGTCATTCTCTTTGCAACTTTACTGCTGTGTTGATCTGTATTCAACATAATGACAGAGTAAGACAGAACGTAAGCAGTATCTGCATTAGCAAATGCATTCGGATTGCCAATAACATATCGATTTGCGAATTTTAACATGAAACGATCAATCTTTTGAGCTTCACCAGGAAGACGAAAGGATTGTAGAAATTGGCGTAGAGCATCCACGAATCGACGTTTAGTAAAGTCCATTGCATCCACAAATGCGTGCATAATCGCAATGTTTCGTTCATCTCCTTCACCCAAAAACTCTCCGATTTGCGCCTTATCCAATCTATCCTCTCGTAGTAAGAATTGTGCAATACATTCTGGTGTATCTTCCGCTATGAATTTGTCGGCGAGTAAAAGCTTGATGCCTTTCTTTGGTTTGAAGTTGAATTGCTTGATGGCATTTGTCATTGCGGTCTTTCTTTGCTTCTCCTTTTCCAGTTGTTCAGGGTCATCATCCATGACAGGCGTTGAAGGCATTGGTGTATTTTCACCAGTGATTCTTGTTGAACTATCGTTTCCAGGTTCCAGGGATTCCCTAACATCGGCGGAGCCTCTGATATCATTTTCTGGGCCACTAGTAACATCAGCTATCCCTTGCTGTGACCAATTCACCAGTGATCTCAGTGTCTCCACGAGACAATCCATAGCTTGTCGCTTCACAATGTACTCTTTTGGAATTTCGGTCTCTCCATTTTCGGTATGGCTACTCAAATGTGCTGTAGAAAGAGGCG